CTGGGCATAGACGTCAAAGTAGAGGATGACGGCCACGAGAAAGTGCAGCAGGCAGAGAAGGAGCACGGCCTTGCAGACGCGCTCCAGCGTCCCCCCCAGCAGTCTGCTCATCCCGCAGGCGGCCTCCGGCCCGCCCAATGGGCCCGGGCATCCGGCTGCCGGCCTGAGCAAAGGTAGGAAAGAAACCGACCCAGCCGGTTAGGGCCGATGGGCAAGGCTACCCACCCACCTCCTGCCCACTGCTCCTACTCATGGACCCGCATCCTCACATTTACCTGCTCATGCCCTGTGACACTCCTCACATTCTACCTGCAAACAGACACAGAGACACAGTCCCTAGCAACTCAATACTCACACATCTTCACGCACCTGAGTACTTACCCACGTAAGCTTACATTCCTTATCTACACACACACACACGTATTCCCAGGAACATGGACACGTAGCCTCTGACCACACTGGTTCATACCTAAACATGGGAACATGTGTACCTAGAGACCCACAGTGTACCTGTGCCCCAGAGAACAGACACCTCACAGGGCAGTATGCTCATCCCAGGACTCCGGGCCTGGGGAAGGGGGCCATTTCCTGAGCACCTGCCATGCAGGAGTGCTCTGTACCACGGCTTCACGGCTTCACTGAGTCCTCCCAGGAGCATGGTGGGCAGTGGTTTGGTCACACAGGTCCCAGGGGCAAGCAGGCCAGGCCAGCTGGAACCAGGCTGGGCAGTGGCCCTCAGCATCTCAATGGCTCAAATACAGGATGTCTGTGGGATCCCTTCCTTCTGGAACAAGAGGTCAAAATACAGGGTGTGGCATGGGCACCCCCTATAAGACCTCAAGGGTTGGGCTGAATTCTCAGGGGCCTGCCCAGCACTGCTGGCCCTGATTCCCAGAACAGGGACGCTGGAGCCCTGGGGACGGAGGGGCAGCACTCAGCAGGCAGGAGAGGGTCCTGCTGGGCACAGCTCCAGCTGCGGTCCCATCAGCGCGGCCACACTTCCGAGGCCACTTCAAGAGGCGCTTCAGGTTGCAGGGGGCGTCTCACTCACAGACACACGGCATCGCACAACCGTGCAGACACCCTTGGTCCCAGCTATACTCACCTGCACTGAGACACACACAACTACAGACAGACACACCCAGGTGACAGTCACACACAAGTTACACACTCACAAACAAAGCCGCGGGTCCCGCACTTACACAGCCGCACCTACAAGCTCCCGGGCGCCTCCCAACACGCGGCCCCACGTGCGAACATTCCCACCCCTCCTGGGGCAGGAGTTCTGGGTCAGGCTGACCACCGGCAGCGAGGCGCGTTTGGGCAGGGCTGGAGGGCTGAGCCGCCTGAACACGTGGCACCCCGGGACTGGGGAGGCAGCAGCGACCCGGAGGGTGTGGAGCCTGGGGGTGGGGAGGCGTGGATTGGGGGAGTGGATGGAGGCGGGGGCCGAGGCCAAGGGGAACCGTGAGTGGAGCGCCTCCCCGCGCCACGAGGCCCGGTG